GCGCAGAGTCAGACGTTCCACAAGGTGAGCATCTCTTGCTCCGCTCCTGCGCCCGGGTCTCACCACCCGCCCCCGCGCGCCCGGATCCGGATGGTGAACCAGGGTGGGTGTCTGGGGGACCTGGAAGAGGCGGTGGTTCGGGGAGGTAAGCCCAGCTCTGGCTTTCTGGAGTTTGAGACTGAACAGCCCAGATCCCCCACTCGATGCTCTTCTGCTCTTCGCGTGCAGTAGAGGGCGGCCTTGCTCCCTCAGCCCTAGGCGGGCCTTCTCCAGCTCCTTGGGGGCAGAAGAGGAGTAGGTTCTGGTGGAGGCAAAATGAAGTCAGCTTTTTAAATACTCGGGTTATAGAGATTGGAGGGGGGAGCTCTTTCCTTCCCGCCTTACCTAAAAACCCCCAAGTTTTGTGCGTGGTCTCCTAACGCCCCACCCCCTATGAGAGAGACAATGGAATATCTGAATTGAGGGTACCTGATGCTTAAGTGTGGGAGGGATGCGTCACAGCTCAGCTCTAGGGCAGCCAGTAGTCCCCGGCCGACCATACACTGTCTCTGAGCCTCAGCTTTCTCCTCTGGAGAATGGGAATAATAAATACCTATGACATATTTGCCCCGCAGGGTGTTTGGTAGGTAGGGTACAAATACAGGCAATTTGTTATTATTGAGGGCCAGGGAGGTAGATTAAGAGCTATTATCAAGAGCTGGAACTTAATCCTCAAATCCACTCTGGTTCAGGCTAAATCTAAGTAAAATGTGGTTTCACCTTAGATGACAAGGATTTGAGTCTCTGATTCATTTACTTTTTAACAAATTAATTCTTTTGAAAGCTACAGTCGCTGGTATGATGAACTTTTAGAAACAGATGTAAATAGCGTTTATTAACAACACTTAGAAATAAACCAAATCCGGTAATAAATAAGCACGAAGCTTTCTGGCCAGAATTCTTCCAACAACTGACAGTTCTGCCAAAGGTGGCGGGGGATCACCCACTATTGCATATTATAGAAAATCAGGATAAATTATATAAATTATGTATTTAAAAAGAAAATCTATTTCATTAATTCAACAGAATAATAAATAGATAAATAACAAACAGTTGATTGCCATTAAAAACTTTGATTCTTAAATTACATTTACATTATGGATATTTACACGTACAATATACACAGAAACACACTCGGACTCTCAGTCAGCTGTTGAGTCTTATGACACAAACTCAAAGGGAGGTTCGTTCTCTATGTTGCTGAAGGATTTGCTGTTGAGTTTTCTGGGGTCCTCTGGGGTCCACACTTTAGCTGTCCGAATAATATTTTGTTCTTTGAGTTGTTTTTCATCAGTCCAGGAGAGCGAGTGCCCTGCAAGAGGAGGGAGGCCGTAATCCGGATCATTTGGGGAGGGGGAACCTGCGGAGGCGAACAGAGAACAGATAGTGAATACCCAACACTCCTCAGTAGTTGCCCACGGTCTTTTAGGGATTCCTCTGAGGCAGCTAGATCGCCTCTCCACCCCTCAAGCCCTCTGGTCCCACTCCTGGGAATTCCGGAAGCTATAAGTCTAACAAGGACGCGTGTCCTTCAGGCCAGGCTGAAGTAACAGAAAATTGAGAATCTCAAGTTTTCGCTCAAGGTTCCCTATCCCCACCGATGGTCCAAACATCGTTATCCGTGGATGAGTCCGTCTGCCTATCATCCTGTGCCTGTCCGGGTCCCCCTAAGCTGAGATGCTGAGACATGGACGCACTTACGGGTGCCCCGGTGGCAGATGATGACCTTCTGGGCCTGGCTACCAGGACTGTCCCCGCCCAGGCGCCCACCGCCACTAGGGCCACCGCAGCCCCCTGCGCCGCCGCCTCGAAGTGGCAGGTCGGCCTGCACCAGTTCGCTGAGGAAATTGATGTAGCCGATGGCCAAGCGCAACGTGTCCACCTTGGAGAGGCGCTTCTCGTAGGGCAGCGTGGGGATGTGTGAACGTAGCCCCTCGAAGGCATCGTTGATGGACTGCATGCGACGCCGCTCACGCACATTGGCGGCCTGTCGCAGCTGCTGCAGCTCCGCCTCGGAGCGCACCCGCCTCCGCCGCCGCGCCGCGGCGCCGCTCAGACCCCGCAGCCGCGCCCCAGGGGACAGCACGGCGCAGGGGTAGGCCAGGCATTGGGGCGGCGATCCGGGAGAGTAGGGGAACCCGCCGCGGGGCGCCCCTGCCTCGCAGCAGTAGCCCCCACTGTCCTCAGGCTCGCCGGGGACCCCCAAAGGCGGCGGGGCCAGTGCATGCGGGGCGGTCGAGGGCGCGGGCTGCAGCAGCAGGCACGCCCCGTCGCGGTAGCAGTACTCGTGCAGATGGTGGTTGAGGAACTCCACCTCGGCTTGCTCATCCGCCAGCAGCTCATCCGCGTCCTCCAGCGGGTCCCGGGAGGACTGATCGGTGAAGAAGTCCTCCTCGTCGAAGTAAGCCGAAGGGAAGGCGTCCAGGCCCCCGGGGAAGTGATCCAGCAACATCGCGTCCATGCCGGCCACCGCCGAGGGCAGGAGGCACGGCCCGGCAGCCCTGGTGACTCTTTGTGAACGTTCGGTGGCAGTTAGAGCTGGTCCCGCAGCCCCTCCCTCTTGGGGACCGCGAGGCGCCCCCCCTCGCCCCCCCGGCCTCCCTGGAGTGCTCGCAGTTGCTGCGCTCTGGCTGGCGTCCGCGCTGCGCTGCGGAGGGCTGGGATCGACTTGCAGAAGCTGAGGGCTGGCACGCGAGGATTCTTATAACTACATCCACAGGCGCGTGCCAGGGACCACGCGCGCCAGCCAATCAGAGCTCGGGGCGCCGGCGGGGAGGGACCCGCGGGCCCAGCAGCGGCGGGGGCTCTGTCCTCGGTTCCCAGCTTGCGCGGCTCCTCCAGCTCTGGGCTGCAGTTGGGTACCTGACCCGGGTGCAGCTCTGGGGTTACCTGCTTCCCCGGGCGCCCGCCTACTGCCCGCAGCACGGCGCCCTGGTTTCTTCCTTGGGGCTGGAACATCCACAAAGGTCCTAGGCGTGCGGGACTGGAGCCCCCGCGGCGCAGCCTCGGGACTGAGAGATCGGTTCCAAGATGGCTGTGGTCGGGGGTCGGTAGGGGCCATTTCTCCTATCCTCACCCACCGCACGCAACTGTGCTCCCGCCTGGGTCGGGTTTGGGGCTTCCATCCCATCTCCTGACCCTTCAAGGAGTCTTGCAAAGTTTGAGAAGGGATGTGCAGAGGGTTGGAAGTGAGCTGATCCCACACCTCAGGAGTTCCTGAGGTAGGCCATGGAGCAGGAGCGCGGTAGGGGCCCTCTGGGAGCTGGCCTGCCTCCTGCTGCCCTCTCCTGACCTAAGAAAGAAGTGGGGCGACTAGACCCGTGGGGCGGGCTGCACAGCAGCGCAGCGGGGCGTTTCTTCCACAAGCAAATCTAGACCCTAGGGGTTCTGAGCTATAAACCCAGCACAAAAGGAGTCCATTGAATCCTCCACAGTGGAGCCAGCGGTGGGGTGGAGGGGAGGGGTATGGAAATTAAAGGGCAGACTGTAACAGTTTTCAAAGTCCGAATCTCACCCTTCAAACTTGCCACCGGGACCATCCTGGAGTGAGCCACCCCCTTTTCGACTTCTCTTCCTATTTTCAAAAAACCTTAAAAACATATGCAGCCTGCTCCCAAAACATTTTATCATAGACTGAAATGTAACCTGAATTCTTCAGCGACAAAGAACACTTTCAAGGTCAAGGCAATTCCTGGTAAAAGTCAAGCTTGGGTTTCTACTCCGAAGGAGTCCAGCACAGCCTTGGCATCATATTCCTTCAGCAGCGAACCGGAATCTTCATCTTCCAGGGTCAGCCACTTCTCTTTTCAGACCTTTTACAGAGGTGTCTGTGGGTTATTTGGACTCCCCTCATATCCATGAATGTTGACAACAGTGCTTAAACACGGTTCATTTGGGGCATTTCACTGTATTTGAACAGAATTCTGAGGCCCGGACCTTTAAGTCAACAACAGATTAGATCAGAAATTGAGCTGCCTTGACCTGTGGAGATTGCTACACAATTTTAAACCAAAGGCCCCGTTTCTTAGCAGTTTTTTCATGTGTTCTTCAGCCTGTGTCTCCTTCATAGTGAGCTGATTTTCATTAAACCTAAGCAAAGACGGACAGGAGGGGCTGCCTTGGATCTCAGAGGCTGCACATGAGCTGGAGTGGGAGATGCCAACACCAGGGATCTAGTGCTGCTGCACTCACTTCCCTTCACATCAAAAACCTTCCATGACTGGGCATGGTGGTGCATGCTTGCAATTCCAGCACTGCACAGGCTGAGGAGAGATGACTGTGAGTTCAAGGCCAGCCTGTCTAAAGTGGGGAGGGCTTTCTGGATCAGTCTGAGGACTTGTAATTAACCAGATTTCAAAGCTTTATCAAAAATATTAATCACAACTCACCAAAGAGAAGTGTGGATCTGAACCCACAAATGCCCTCCTAGAGAGAACAGGAGTTCTCCTCTGGTGGGTCCAGGTGGTTCTTGATAAATTATATTTGACTCATTAATATATAGGGACTGTGGTTCTGAGAGACTTAAGAGTATGTATAAATGAGGGTTTTGCTGTTGTTATTTAATGAGTTTTGTTTTTTGTTTTAGGGTTTTTTTTTTTTTTTTGGTCTTTTTGAGAAGGGTCTCTCTGTAGCCCCAGCTGACCTCACCATGTAGACCAGGCTGGCCTTGAACTCACAGAGCTCCTTCTGCCTCTGCCTCCCAAGTACTGGGATTAAAGACATACACCAGCATGCCTGGCTCCTTTAATGAGGTTTTTAGAAAAGAGTTTCCATAACATCCTCTAACTTGTGTTTGATGAGTTTGTGGAAAGTTCCAGAAATGCACCTTTGACACCCAGGTGAGCCAATGGAGATTCTAGAACTGGTGGGAAGTCTTACTGTCTCAGAAGCCAGCAGAGCCAGCATGGGCATTCTGAACATCTCCTGGCTCTTTCCATACCATCCTTCTGTCCTCTTTTATTTTTCCTTCCAATTCTCATCTTCAGTTTTCTATTTAGAGAATTCCCGGCAATCTGCAGATTGGTCTTGTTAGAAAGCAGAACACACACACACACACACACACACACACACACACACACACACACACACACACCATCCTTAAATAAGACATGATGGTTCTTTTCTCTTACACAAAGAAGAAAGTCTTCTCTGCCAATAAAGAGAATTTTCTCTGGGTCACTGGAGGTCACAACCCGGAGGACGGCTGCCCTCTGCCACTCAAAATAGCAGGTTGGATGGGGAGAAGGCTGAAACTGAACCTTGTCTCGCCAGGTGAGAGGCCAACCCTCCCTCCATACGCCATACCTTTTGGTCAGAGGGGAGCATGCAGACACTTGCTATCAAATGTTCAAGTCAGTTCATGTGGAGAGAAAGCTATCTCAGAGCTACGATTGACTCCATCCTCAGCTGACTCAAGCTAACCCTTCCCTAAGGACTCTTAGACACTTATTCTTAATGGGAGACACCCCCCAAACCCTATAAAGAACCACTGTGTCACTCTAAAACAGCATTCCAGGTCCTGTGGAGGGAGGGTGGAAGGATCTCCTGGAGCCCCAAGGTGGCTGGCTGCACATCTTTCAGCAAGGCCGCCTGTCACCCTTGGCCTCTTGTACTTCCTAGGACTGCTCACAGGCCCGGGGTCTCAGTTCCAGAATTACTGGCAGAAGCCACTGAACTTGAGCCTGGGTCTCTTCCTCTAGCCCCTCAGTTCCCTTTCCCTCCCAGAATCTTGGGTCTGAATACTTTTTCATCTGTTTCCTGTCATATTTCCAGTCATTTTCCAGTGCCTAGGAGCAGCGACAGAAGGGCTAGAGTTCAGGTCCCTGGCTCTTCCCAGGATGATTTTGCTAAGAGACATTAATGCAGAATGGGGCCTCCAGGCCTCCCACTCCCCCAACCCCAAACGTTCTTAGTGCTGGACAGGAGGCCCATGTGTGCCTTGCTGGAACCTAAACTATGCAGAAACCAGAATCCAGCTGTACTGTCCACAGCATCCCACATATCTCCCTAGGGCCTGCAAACAGGTACTTGTGTATGGGCCTCAGTCTACCTCCCATCTTCAAGGCAGGTCTCTGCTAATTCTTCATGGTTTAAAGTCTCCTGTTGCCCACCTCATCTCTGGGCAAGAGCAAGTAGGTTGTTGCCCTGTCCTACATTCCTCTCCCTTCTCTTTGCCACTATCCCACTCTGAATCTGGGGTATCTTTCTTCTCCATGCTGGTGTGTCCAGTACACGCATGTCTGTTTTTATCCTTATATCCTTGGAAAATGACTTGAAAATGGAATCAGAGTTCATATTGAAAGGCCCCAGAGGTCCAGGGAGGTTTGGTAAGTTCCCTAAGTTTCACAACTGATTAATGCCAGCCCCAGTGCACCTTAGCCCAGTGCTGGTTCCTCCAGCTGTTGAGTGCAGATGCCAACCCTGCTTCCCTCACTCTAACAGGGGTGTTTTTACCAATGTGCAATGCTGTCAGTTCATGCTACTTCTAAAGCAACCCATGTGGCCAGTAGCCACCTTCCTGACCTCTATCTACCCTGTATTCACTGTGTGGACTACAGCTCAACCTATAATACCAGCTGAGGAAGAGAGAGTCTCTTAAAGATGCTGTCCCCAGTTTAAGGCAAAGGATGCTAAATCAAACCTGGGACCACGCGAAATTCTTTGACTTCTGATATCATATTTTGTAGATTAGGGGACACTGCCACCCAGAAGACCCACTCTAATGATATAGTATTTTCTCCCATGAGGCCCTAGAATATGCTGAACTACTTATTTGGAATTGGGGATAGAGCCTAAGGTCTCATACCTTGCATCTATCCTACCATCAACCCATCAAATCTACCCTTAACTCTTCAGTACATTGACCTTTCTTCTACCTCACCCTGCTCCCCACCTCCGACCCATCACCTTCTGAATGACCTTCAGGCTTCCAGATGCTATGATGGCATCCTTTGGTCTCTGATTCACCCTACTTCTATCTCCACTAGTCAGTGAGCTTCTTGATGTGGCTTGAATATCTTATTCTATCCCAACATAAGCAGAATGAATAGTTCTAATGCTAGAAAAGATGAAAGTGAGCTCATTCCTTCTTGGGATAGAGTAAAATCTTTAAGTACAGCAGATACATTTCTTACTCATCTTCATAATTCTGCAAGCTAAAGGGTATTGCTTTCAGCATGGGGCTGGGCCACCGTCCCATAAGCCCAGTGAAAGGAGTCAGAATTCAAGTTCCCATTCCACACCACCTGAGTCTTTCCAACATCACTGTTCTGCCCTTTCTCTGTCTCTATACTTAATGTACTAGTTGATTTTCATGTAAATCAGCTCATCTGCTCCAAGGGAAGCCCTTTAAATTATTTTAGTGTGTGTGTGTGTGTGTGTGTGTGTGTGTGTGTGTGCGTGTGTGTATTCTCCTGGGTGTGGGAACATGTATGTGCAGTATATAGGCATACGTATGCATAC